TTAAAATAGAACAAAAGGCAGGTGATATAAAGCAGCCTCTTTTGATTGCAAAATACAAAGAAGAATTCAATAGCAGCCACGTGGTTAGTGAGATCAATACATCACAATGAAAGCCCTCAATTCTGTCTTACCGAACTAATGGACTATAGGAGCACACAGTTTGAGCTATGACTAAAGGGGCTGCTGGTCTTTTTTTGGCATAGGATGGGAGGGTAGAGTCTGTGGTAAGCACTGGGCAGGGATTCAGGAGATTGACATTAAATCCCCAGCTCTGCTACAGATTTCCAGTGTAACTTTTGGCAAGTCATTTAGACTTTCTATGCTTTTGTTTACCATCTGTAAAATGGGAATAATTCTACCACTCGTCTGATTTTTCTATTTAGATTGTAAGCTCTTCAGGGAAGGAACTGCCTCTTACTGAGTCTTTGGACAACACGTGGCACAGTGGGGTCCCAATCTCAGTCTAGTTGCTACTGTAATACAAATAACATGTAGTAATCAAAGTTTTTCTAGTAGATTTATCAACTTAAGGTAAATGACAAGTGTAAAACATATTGCTAATAAAATTAGCAGGTTTGATCTTCCAGATGAATACTCTATTGTGATCATTTTAATTAATGCACACAGGGCAAAAAAGTACTCACGCTATCAAACTAAACACCAGCAAAATTATTTTAAGTACTTCACTTTTTTCAGAGACCTATAAATCAGTTTATATCTGCAACAACTATGGCCCATGAGGATCTGCTACAATTCAGGACCTGTTTCTGTGCCAAAGGTAAGAGAAGAAGTCTGCAGCAGTAACAACATGCAAACTTCCCCAGTTTTACCAGTAGATTCTGCAGTCATTAAGTGTAAAATTCTGAGAACATTGACTTTCAGAGTGCCATAACCATGACACAGCATGGTGTAATGGACAGTGCAAGAGACTAAGAAACTGGAACTCGAGAGTTCCAACTCTGCCACTAACTCACTTTGATACACGGCCCTCACATCCACTGAAGTAGTGTCTGATTTTGGATGTCCAGCTTGAGACATTTTTGGCCTGATTTTCAGAAGTGCTGAGCATCCACAATCCCAACTTCAGTTAATGGAGCTGCCACAGCTCAGCACCCTGAAAAATCAGGCCCAAGGTCTCACCCCAGATCTGAGGTAACTTTTGACTTCAACATCTGTCTCTTAGTTTCCCCAACTGTAAAATAGGGTTAATATTTGTCCAGCACTTTGAAGAGGTAAACACTAGACACTATTTAGTACTAAGCCTTTCAAAGGAGAACATTAAGCTCTTTCATTCCATTTGGATATTTAGCAATAAGATGACAAAAAGATGAGAAGAAAGCAAACTAAAGGTACAACATACAGTCTTGCATAAACCCTCATTTCCCACCTACTGAAACCTAGAAAGGATCCTAGCAGGAGACAGAGAACGGATTTTTAAAAGTAAGAAGGGATTTCACCATACTGCAAACATTTAGGCAGATGATTTATCTCTGCATGAGGACTGATACCAAATGCCAGTCAGTTATATGCCACTAGGGTAATGTTAGGCCAGTGATGTAATAGAGAACGAAAGCATACAAAATTAAAGAGAGAATGATTTTAGAAGACAGAACAGTTATTTAAGTAGTTTGAAATGACTTGTTTTTGAATATTTCTAAAGATTCTTTAATAACCTTTCTTCCCTGTACAATGCTGTCTTAGTACTTTCCATTCTCCCTGCCCACAGACCATTGCGTTGTTAGTACAATAGTGAAAGGGGTGAGCAAATCTATAGTGTGCCTTGACTTCTTTTGCTACTGCTGTTCACTGACAGCAAACACCAGCAGCAGCAATTTAACAGAACCACCCCTGCTTTTCTTTGCTGACACAGGTGACCCCGATTTAGAGGGGAAGTGAAGGCAGCTGTAAAAAAACAACAAACAACAAATGGAAGAAAAGGGAAGTTGATAGCACTTAATATAAACCATGTTAGGAATGGTAGAAAATTGATAAGGGAAGCCAAGGGACACAAGAAGAAATCTATGGCCATCAGATGCGTTAAGGACATAAGAAGGAGTTTTTAAAATATATTGGGACCAAAAAGAATCCTGACAATGGTATTGGCCCATTACTATATGGAAATGGTAGAATGTATCAATAAAAACGCACAAGTGTTCAATAAATATTTCTGTTCTATATTTGGGGAAAAAACAGAAAATAAAGTCTCATCATATTCTACTAGTATTTCTGGAGAATGTTAAACAGAAGCTACTAAAGTTAGATATCTTTAAATCAGAAGGCCCAAATAACTTGCACGCTAGAGTTTTTATTAATGTTGATTTTTTTTGTTCAGTACGTCTTAGAGCACTGGGGAAATTCCAGAAGACTGGAAGAAAGCTAATGCGCCAATTTTTAAAAAGGGTAAATGGGATGACCTGGGCAAGATAATGGAGCAGTTGATATGGGACTCGATTAATAAAAAACTAAAAGGCTGTTAATGCAATTAATGCGTATCAGCATGGGTTTATGGAAAATAGATCCTGTCAAACTAACCATGTTTTTTGATGAAATTACAAGTTTGGTTGACAACATTAATAGTGTTGATGTATTTCAGAGTAACAGCCGTGTTAGTCTGTATTCGCAAAAAGAAAAGGAGTACTTGTGGCACCTTAGAGACTAACCAATTTATTTGAGCATGAGCTTTCGTGAGCTACAGCTCACTTCATCGGATGCATACTGTGGAAACTGCCTAAGTGTTGATGTAATGTCCTTAAACTTCTGTAATGTCTTCGACCGCAAAACATTTTGATTAAAAAATGAGAACCATATAAAATCAACATGGCATACATTAAATGGATTAAAAACTGGCTAACTGATAGGTCTCAAAAACGTAACTGTAAACGGGGAATCATTATTGAGCAAGTGTTTCCAGTGGGGTCCCACAGGGAGTGGTTCCTGGCCCTATCCTATTCAACATTTTTATCAATAACCTGAAAGAAAACATTAAATCAACACTGATAAAGTTTGCAGATGACAAAAAAATTGGGGGAGTGGTAAATAACGAAGAGACTGATTAATGATTCAGAGCTATCTAGATTGCTTAGTAAACTGAGCACAAGCAAACAATGTGTTTTAATACAGGTAAATGCATACATCTAGGAACATAGAATGTAGGCCAGACCTACAGGATGGGGGATTCTATCCTGGGAAGCAGTGACGCTGAAAAAGATATGGTGGTCATAGTGGATAATCAACTGAAGCTGAGCTCCCAGTGTGATGCTGTGGCCAAAAGAGATAATGTGATCCTGGGATGCATAAACAGGGGAATCTCAAGTAGGAGTAGACAGGTTATTTTACCTCTATATTTGGCACTGGTATGACTGCTGCTGGAATACTGAGTCCAGTTCTGGTGCCCACAATTCAAAAAGGATGGTGATACATTTGAGAAGGTTTAGAGAAGAGGAGCCACATGAATGACTAACGTTTTAGAACACATGCCTCACACTGATAGGCTCAAGGAGCTCAATCTGTATCACAGAATATCAGGAGATCATCTAGTCCAACCCCCTGCTCAAAGCAGGACCAATCCCCATTTTTTGCCCCAGATCAACTTAACAGCCCCCTCAAGGATTGAACTCACAACCCTGGGTTTAGCAGGCCAATGCTCACACCACTGAGCTAATCTATTTAGCTTAATAAAGAGAAGGTTAAGGGGTAATTTGATTACAGACTGTAAAATACCTACAGGGGAAATATTTAATAATAAAAAAATAACACTTCAGTCTACCAGAGAAAGGTATAACACAATCCAATGCCTGGAAGTTGAAGCTAGCCAAATTCAAATTGGAAAAAAGGTGTACATTTTTAAAGGTGAGAGTCATTAACCACTGGGCCAATTTACTAAAGGTCATAATGGATTCTCCATCAGGGACAATCTTTAAATAAAGATTGGAATATTTTTCTTAAAAGATATGCTCCAGGAATTATTTTGGGCTATGGACTGTGCTATATGAGAAATCAGTCCCTTCTGGCATTACTATTTATGAATCTATGGACCCTACTAGACAACACCATGTTGAACCCATCAAGATTATTACATGAATTGCAATAGCACTTCTAGACCCCATTGTGCTAGGCACTGTACACACGTAATATGCACATGGTCCTCACCCTAGAGCACATGCAATCTAAATACATCACGAAAGGCAACAGACGGATGGAACCAACATTTGGGGGGAGAAGAGCACAAGGTCACAGGGACTGTCACCGTGTTAGGATTAACTTAAGCAGTGGTTGCAGCGCAGCAGCCACCAAGAGAGACAGACAAGTGGACAAGTGGGTAAGTGAATGGCTGGGGGGGAGATTTACCAGAAACCATCCTGTCTACCCAGGGATCCATCCTGGCACTGGAAGGCTCAAGACTAGCCAACATTTACAAACAAAACAAAACAAAAAAAGCCCACCATGTAATAGTGTTTGCCCTTGTACATCACACTTCATGGGACGATTCCAAAGCATACCCCACCCCCAACCCAGCCTGCCCCCCCCCAAAAAAAACCCCTCCAAACACGCGGAAGCCGGTTTCAGAGCCGGGGTCAACTTAGGCTGGGCCCCGGGGCGGGAAACAACAGTGCAGAGGTCCCCGCTCCAGCCCGGGCGCGGAGACCCGGCGAAGTAACAGCGCCTGCGGGGGCCGTTTCCCCAGGCCCGGGCCAGGCGAACGGGCGGGTTTCGGTCCCGCCCTGCCACTCTCCCGTCCCGCGCAGGCGGCTCCCCAGGCAGGCGCCCCGCCGGCGGCAGCGGGACGCACCGCGCCGCACCCCCGGGGAGAGCCGGGCGGAGCGGGAGCACCGCCCTGCTGGCCTGGCTGCCGCGGGCGCGCCCAGACGGGCCCCAGGGGCGCTGCCAGGCTGCAGCCGGGAACCCCCCACCCGCCCGCCAGCCACCGGCGCAGCCTCTTTGCGGGCGGCCGCCGGCCCGGCCCGGCCCGCGCGCCCCGGCCCCGGCCCCGGGGTACGTACGCGGCGGCGGCTTTGCCGCAGAGGACCTGCGCGGGGGCCATGGTGACTGCTCGCGCGCCCGCCGCCCCGGCGCTCCCCGAGGCTCCAATTGCGCGTGGCTGCGCCCGCGAGCCCAGACACCCGCCCGCCGCACCCACGTGGCCCGAGCTTCCGCGCCCGCCGGGCGCCCCCGCCCCCGCGCGCCGGCAAGGGACAGGGGGGCGGGATCCGCCGGCTGCGCTGGCTCATAGGCCTCCCGGGGCCAAGCGCCCGCCCCTCTTTGGCCAATTAACAATCCTGTTGTTGTGACCCACGCTGCTGGCGGGCCCCATCGGGGGCCACGTTCGCCGCAGGCGGTAGCTGCTGCACCAATGCAGCCTGGCTAGGCCTGCCCGAGCCTGTGAGAGAGAGGCGGTCCTGGTCTCCACTGCAGCCTCTGGGCTGTGGATAAATTACTCCTGGGGGAATGCTGCACCCTTGCGCAGGCACAGAATTCATGTCCCCCACAGATTTCTTTGCTTCCCTACAGAAAAAATGACTTTCTGAGGGGGAAGCAAAGGGAAGCCACAAAAGCGGCCAGGGAAGCCACAAAAGCAGCCAGGGAAGCCACAAAAGCAGCCAGGGAAGCCTCCCTAGCCGTCTGTTTTGGGTGCCCGGGTAGCTGTCAGAGAGGTAAATCACTGAGGGGCAGGACTAGGGAAGACCTGGCTGGTGGCTCCTATCCTGTGCTGGGATCAGCTGCTAGTCCTGGCTTGGCTAGGGAGGATGCGACTTCCTCTTCCCCTGCATGGCATCCGGGACTGGGTCAGACCCACCCCCAGGTTTCTCCCCCAGCTGCAGGAAGATCTGCAAACTCCCTTCACGCACACACTTCCTGTATCCATTGCTCCTCAGCTGCAGACGGAGGGATCCCTGTACAAGAAGCTGCTTCCCCCATCCACCCAACCCTGGTGCATCTAGACCCTCCTGCCAAGCCTCACCCCTCTGCACTCAGAACCTCCCCGATAAGCCCCACTCTGCTGCACCTGGACCACACCATGAAGCCACCCACACCCAGATCCCACCAAGCCCCAACTAGCTGCACCTGGATGCCCACCCCACTGAGCCCCACTCCCCCAGCATCTGGACTGCTCCCCACTGGTTGTCCCACACCCAGATCTCCCTACTGAGCTCTGTTCCCCCCACACCTAGACCCCCCCAAGCCCCAACACCCTCATCTGGACCCCCCTGCAGAGTCCCATTACCGCTGCACCCATAACTTCCCAACAAGCCCCTGTGCATTGTTAGGGGGCTTATTCCTTCACCCACTTACTTCCCTGGTCCTTCTCGCATGAACAGAGAGCAACAATACCCGAAGTCCAAAGGTGCAAACAATTCGATGTTTATTGGGGTGAACTTCCAGCAAGCATGATTCCAGTTTCCTTCCTTAGTATCCTCCTTCCCAGCTCTGACACCACAGACACCTGTGTCCCTGTTCCCATTCCTGCCCTTAGCCAAACATGATTCCAACTTCCTTACTCCCATTCCCTGTTCCCATTTCCCGTTTATATTCAGGCCTGTCTGCAAAGGCCTGTACTTTAAGAATGTAGGTGTATTCTTATCACTTGGCTAGTTCTAGAGGTATAAAAGAAAGAAAGAATCAAAATCACTGTCTGCTGGTGTAAGGGCCTTCTCTTATGGTGACAGTCTGAGGCCCTGTTCTTAGGCTAAGGCCTTTGGCTAAGCAGCAGAGGCAGCCATAAGCTAGGAAGCGAACAGTCACATTCTCACATTCCAAACTAGTCACATTGAAATAAGATGCTGTTGGGCTGTTAGGCACTATCAGGACAGGATTGTATGCCTAACACCTCCAGAGAAAGGGAAGTGCCTAGAAAATGTAAACGGAAACTTAGTTTGATAGCATCCTGTCTGGCAAGAACTCACTTATCAATAGCTGGGATGTGAAATCCTCACTTCTGTATTGTTTTGTCATTATAGTTTTCACTTTGCTATTGTTTGTATAATCTCTGTCTGGTTCTGTGATTGTTCCTGTCTGCTGTATAATTAATTTTGCTGGGTGTAAACTAATTAAGGTGGTGGGATATAATTGGTTACATAATCATGTTACAATATGTTAGGATTGGTTAGTTAAATTTCAGGAAAATGATTGGTTAAGGTATAGCTAAGCAGAACTCAAGTTTTACTATATAGTCTGCAGTCAATCAGGAAGTGAGTGGGTGTGGGTGGGAGGGGGTGGGTGAGGGGGACATGGGAACAGGGAATGGGGGTAAGAAAATTGGAATCATGTTTTGCTAAAGGGGGAAATGAGAACAGGGAATGGGAGTAAGGAAGTTGGAATCATCTTTGGCTAAGGGTAGGAATGGGAACAGGGACACAGGTGTCTGTGGTGTCAGAGCTGGGAAGGGGGATACTAAGGAAGGAAACTGGAATCATGCTTGCTGGAAGTTCACCCCAATAAACATCGAATTGTTTGCACCTTTGGACTTCGGGTATTGTTGCTCTCTGTTCATGCAAGAAGGACCAGGGAAGTAAGTGGGTGAAGGAATAAGCCCCCTAACATGCATCAAGACTGCCCCCTGCACCTGGATCCCCCACTGAGCCGCCTGCACTCAGATTGCCCCACACAGAACTCTCTCAATCCACAGCTGGATCCCCCCACACTAATCCCCTCTGCACTTGGATCCTGCTGGGCTGAGTCTGCCTACTCACACCTGGTGCACCTGGCATGGAGGGGCAGGGCCCAGGGGTGTTTCTGGGGCAGGCCTGGTCCTTGTGCGGTGTCCTTGGGTGCAGCCTCACTGCTGAATCCAGGTCCCGGTGTGGAGCTGCAGAGTGATCTCCAACTTCTGTGCCAGTAGCCTGTGCTCCCCAATGCCATGCTGGAGCCTCCACATTTATTTGACAAATAAAATTTGCAGAATTTTATAATATTGTGCACACAATTTTTATTTTTTTGGCACAGAAAGCCCACAGGGGTAACATTAGTAGCTAAGGGTGAAAGGCTCCCAGAGCTGGATGGGAAGGGTTGTGTCTGAGACAGTCTGACCATCCATGTCAGGCACAGCCCTTCCTGTAACGAAAAGGAAGCCTCACAGTGCAGTATGGTAAAATGTGGTACAAGATTGCCATACTTTTATATATTGTTGCTGCTGTGTTCTGTTAAACAGTGGCTACGTTCCTCTAGAGAGGGGGCTGCATTTCAGGGGTGAGTGAAATAATCATTGTCTAAGCATATTGTGCACAATTGTTTGCTCTTCTCAGAGAGGCATACACCACATTCATAGGGCAAGAGATGGATGAAGTAAACCCCTAATATATCTGCTGTTGAAACCAATGAGGCATTTCATGTGAGTATGGACTAAACCAGGATTAGGCCTTCATATTCTCTGTTAACCTCAGGATGCCGTAATAATTGACAAATAGTGGAGTAAAACGAGTGACTAGTTTAAAGGGTGAAAAGTTACTTATCTGGGAGTGTGTCTTCCCTGCTTTTGTTTTTTCCCCCCCAGTCAGCTGGACATTTGCTTTACTTTGCTTTTTACTGGGTGAAAACTTCAGTATCTCTTGACCCATACAATAATTTCACTAAGAAAGAAACAACATTAACTTCATAATACGTTGTAACCATAGTGTTAAAGCCCAGACGCTTCCCTTTAAAGGTAACCTGTAAGGGAGGGGAATAAATTGAGTCATTCCCTTTTTTGCTTCTATATGATACATAAAGAAAGCTTGCAAGAGCTTTCTCTTTCATTCTTTAAAAGTTCCGTACTCTCCATTAGAAATTCTGGTACCCTGTTTTTCCCCTGGATGTCTCTACAGAAATCTGGTGGGATTATACAATTAAAACCATTTAATTGAGAGAAATGATTTCCCCCACAGCTTGCTTAAAATTCTGTCTTGTTTGCTTTTGTTGATGTCTCTAATTCAAACGCCTGAATGAACAAGTGGGAGAGAATATGGCTCTGTAAAAAAGATTGAACACACCCCACTCCTTCAACGAAGGCTGAGAAAGCTCACAAAAAACATCTGAGACAACCCATCCGCCAGCGAAACCAGGGAACTCCAAACTTGGCATTCCTAAAATTGCTAATGTAAAAAAAACCAAGCAGGATTAAAGAAACAAAAACATTCAAGCCTTTCCCCACACATCAAAAAGAAAAGAAGCACAGTTCTCTTATAAAAAATGTTTCCAGTCATCTATCCAGGAGAGTGCTGCAGCAGCAACCGCTGCCATCAGAATCAGTGGATACTAATCCAGTCTTGTCAACTCTCGGTATTTGTTTGTACAGTGCCTAGTGCAAAGGGGTCCTGATCCATGGGACAGGGCTCCTAGGCACTAAGGTAATACAAATAATCAGAAAATCCTAGAAAAGTAGGGCTGGAAGGGACCTTGAGAGGTCTTCAAGTCCAGCCCCCTGTGCTGAGGCAGGACCAAGTAAACTTAGAGCATCCCTGACAGGTGTTTGTCCAACCTGTTCTGAAAAACTTCCAATGACGGGGATTCTACAACCTCTCTTGGAAGCCTCTTCCAGAGCTTAACTACCCTCATGGACTCATAGACTTTTAAGGCCAGAGGGGACCACTGTGATCATCTAGTCTGACCTCCTGCACATCGCAGCCCACAGAACCTCACCCACACTCCTGTAGTAGGCCCATTACTTCTGGCTGAGTTACTGAAGCCCTCAAATCTTGATTTAAAGACTTTAAGTTACAGAGAATTCACCATTTATTCTAGTTCAAACCAGCATGTGACCTGTGCCCCACACTACAAAGAAAGGCAAAAAATGTCCAGGGTCTCTGCCACTCTGACCTGGGGAAAAATTTCTTCCAAACTCCCAATATCACAATCAGTTAGACCACATTGCCCCAGGCCTCCACTGCCTCCCCCTGCCCCGCATCCATCCCACCATCGCCTCTGGTCCCTGCTGCCTCCCGCTTTGGCCTCCCTAGCAGACTTACTAGCTATTTGTATGTTTGTTAATATCACTTATCACTTTTCATAGCTAAGCAAGCTGAGATATTAACAAATATACAAATATCACTTTTCACAGCGAGCCCTAGGACCCACTAAGCCCTGGATGGGGGGGGGGGGGGGAGGAGGGCAAAGGGGGAGGCAGCATTATTTTTGTTATTGAGTCTGCCAAAAAACCCTATTAATACACATTATAATTATTTGGATGTGAATCTGTGCATATTTAATTTTTTCCCC